AGACCATAAAATGTAGTCCAAACTGCATGAATTGGCAGTGGAAATCCAACCCACCGTGGTCTCAATTGAAAGAGGAGCAGGGATTCGCTCTTTCAAAGCTTGGGACGCCAACAAGGATATTCCATTTGGGGAGGGGAGGGGGGCAAACAAACCAACCCATCCTCCTCTCTGCCTCCAGAACCAAGCCAAGGCCTTCGGGGCTTTTGAAATCCAGAGGAATCCACCCCTTGATGTGTGTAAAAGATAGTGAGCGAGAGCGGATCAAGAGCGCAACCATTTGTCAAAGCAGAGGAAGGCGAAGGAAAAGGGAAACAAGCCCCTCTCGGCGAAGCCTCACGATGGAGATGCGGGGGGGGGGGGGGATTTCTCCTCCCAATCCCTCTTGCCCTCCCCTTTAATCTCCTCGCAGTATTTGATATGATGAATAACCCAATATAGGCCTTTAAAAATAGGTCACTGCATAAAGAGACTCCCAGAGAGAGCCATAAAAAAGGTGTGCGAGGGCGCTTTAAGGAGAGAGACCCGTCGCCTTTCTTAGGGCTTGTGGGGGAGGGAGGGTTTTTTTGGGGGGGCGACATTGGGGTAAGGAAGAGGAGGGGTCGATGTGTCCCCTAGTTTAGCCTTATGGCACTGAAGGCCCAGGCTGGGGGACCGGGTGGGAAAAAGAATGGGGTTTCGGTCTTTAGGCCCCAGCACCCCAATGGCGTCTAATTAAATGGCTCATCACACTACAGCATGGATCCACTTTAAATCCGGTTTCAGCCTCCTGTAGAATTCTGGGGTTTACTGAGGTTTACTGTAGTTTACTGAGGCCCAGGACCTGCCCTCCCTAAACTACAAGCCCCAGAATTCTGCAGGAGGCAGGATTTAAAGTGGATCCATTCTCTACTGTGATGAGGTTCTTAAATCTGCTTTATTTTAATCCGAAATAAAATGACACCCCGGGGATGTATCCACATACACCAAGGTGCTCCACTCTCCTTTTCACTCGCTCACACACACAATCAAAGGTATTGCATCCGAGCTGGGCCTTCAAACCGAGCTATGACGCATCTACGTGCACTTTGACCCCCCCTTTTTTTAACTGCTATGGAATCCTGGGAGTTTAACAAGGACTCCTCTTTCCAAGAGTGCTGCCGATGCCACACCAAACTACAACTCCCATAAAGCTATAGCGCGGTGTCAAACAAACTGCCTTCATTATACAGACTGTAGAATGTTCCGGATTGTTGTCAGTTTTCCAGGCTGTATGGCCATGTTCCAGAAGCATTCTCTCCTGACGTTTCGCCTGCATCTATGACAGGCATCCTCAGAAGTTAAGGGATCTGTTGGAAACTAGGCAATTGGGGTTTATATAACAGGGTGGGAGAAAGAACAAAATCTGGCTACCAGTATTTTTAAAAATTCTAAAATCAGGACAGTAAATAAAGAACACCACTCAGAAAACAGAGGCATTCCAGACATGAGTTAATCACGGCCAGCTAGCACCTCCCAACAAAGGATTCCCCCAGGCAGGAAGCAGCCAGACCTTGAAGCTGAAAGGTTATTCAATGTTAATTAAAAGGTGGCTAATTGCAACATTCACACGTGACTCAAACAAATAAGAGTTCTTTCTCCCATCCTGGACTTTTCAAGGCTATTTAAACCCCACTTGCCTAGTTTCCAACAGACCTCTCAACCTCTGATGATGCCTGCCATAGATGTGAGTGAAGTGTCAGGAAAGAATGCTTCCCTGAACATGGCCATACAGCCCGGAAAACTCACAGCAACCCAGTGATTCCGGCTACGAAAGCCTTCGACAACATAGAGGGCCCCTCCACACAGCCATATAACCCAGAATATCTCTGCCTTCATTTGGCCCCTTGGGATTCCCTCTCCAATCCCCCACCACGGTACCTTTCCCGAATTGTGGGTTGCTGTGAGTTTTCCGGGCTATATGGTCATGCTCCAGAAGCATTCTCTCATGACGTTTCACCCATATCTATGGTAGGCATCCTCACTTCAAAACCTCTGAAGATGCCTGCCATAGATGTGGGGGAAACGTCAGGAGAGAATGCTCTTGAAACATGGCCATACAGCCCAGAAAACTCACAGCAACCCAGTGATTGCGGTCAATCATGAAAGCCTTGGAAAACGGGGTTGCTGTAAGTTTTTCGGGCTGTATGGCCATGTTCCAGAAGCATTCCAGAATCAGACCTCACAACCTCTGCCATAGATGTGGGCGAAACGTCAGGAGGGAATGCTTCTGGAGCATGGCCATACAGCCCGGAAAACTCACAGCAACCCAGTGATTCCGGCCATGAAAGCCTTTGACAGCACATTTCTCGAATTCGTTTCTTTGTTCCCCCTGGAACCAAGTCAGGGTTTATTACAAGCATCCTTAAATATTACCTCTCCATTCCCAAAACAAAGGAGCTGGGGAATAAAAAAGCCTGGGCATTTCAAGACTGGTTTTTGTTTATATGTATGCAATGTATGTATATATGTGTATTTGTGTGTGTGTGTGTAGAAAGAGAGAGAGAGTGCTTCTCCTTTTGCTCCTGCTGGCGAGAGGAGGTCTTGGAGAGATTAATTGAATTTTACCTTTACAGACATGAAGTTTCAGGGACAGATAATAAATAAGAAGCGATGGGGGGATTGGGGGGTCGTATATTTCCTCTCCCTCCAACCTAGGAGTGAAATGCGAGGGGCGAAGAAGGAGGAGAAGGGAAGGAGAAGAAAAGAGGGGAGGGGGATCCCAGGGAATCATTCGTGGACCCACAAACACTGGGTCGCAAAGGTGGGAGAGTTTCCTTTCCAATGGTGTGGGGAGGACTGGATCCCAACCCTTCTCACCCTCGGCTCTCCAGCATCCCAACCACATCGGACTCCGGATTATTCTGAATTGGGAGGGGGGGGGTATTCCAGGTAAACGGGTTTCCACGAGAGTCTCCTCTGTTTATAAACAAAGGGTCTCGGGTTCTTCTCTTCCGCTTGTTTCCCTTATAAGTTTCATTCGATTTTAGACCCCCACCCCTCCCCGCCCCAAACGACAATATACTTCCCTTTCCAAAGCAAGGATCAAGGGCCGCAATTAATTCCTTCTTTGTCTCTCTCTCTCATTCCGAGTCATTGGAGGAAAACTGGAGATAGCCTCAGCCTGTCTATGCCCCCCACCCTCCAAAAAGCACTATTTCTGGTTAGGCTTCCATCGAAAAAGGGGAAGTGGGGAGGAGGGAAAGGGGGGCGGCTTCCCTTGACAGGATCATCGGGAGGTTTGAAAGGCAATGAAATATGTCCCTTCCGTTCTTCGGTGGCCCTTTGCTCTTGAATTATGGCACACAAGGATTGAGCTGGGGCTGGAGGGGGAACCTCTTCTCCAGGTATTATATCCTGCGGTGATATATTTTCCTAAGGACGGTGCCCAGCTCTGTGAAGGCACCACCTTAGCTGAGGTTCGGACACCATAATAATAATAATAATAATAATAATAATAATAATAATAATAATAATAATAATAATAATAATAGGAAGAAGAAGAAKAAGAAGAAGAAGAAGAAGAAGAAGAGGAAGAGGAGGAGGAGGAGGAGCAGGAGGAGGAGGAAAAAGAAGAGTAATACTGCTGCTGCTACTACTACTACTACTACTACTAATAATAATAATAATAATAATAATAATCACCATCATCATCATCATCATGTGTTGTCGAAGGCTTTCATGGCCGGAATCACTAGGTTGCTTTGTTTTCCGGGCTGTACGGCCATATTCCAGAAGCATTCTCTCCTGACGTTTCGCCCACATCTATGGCAGGCATCCAAAGAGGTTGTGAAGTCTGTTGGAAACTAGGCAAATGAGGTTTATATATTTATGGAATGTCCAGGGTGGGAGAGAGAACTCTTGCCTATTTGAGGCAAATGTGAAATGTTGCCATTGGCCACCTTGATAAGCCTTTGCAGCTTCAAAGCCTTGCTGGTTGCTGTCTGGGGTGATCCTTTGTTGGAGAATTTGAACAAAAAGGAAGATACCATGAAACTGAACAAAATCTAGCTACCAGTATTTAAAAACTCAGGGGGATTCCAGACAGAAAACAACCAAGGCCAGCTAACACCTCCCAACAAAGGAGCCCCTAGGTAGGAAGCACCCAGGCTTTGAAGCTGCAAAGCTATTCAATGGTAATCTAGGTGGCCAATGGAAATATTCACACTTGCCTCAAACAGACAAGAGTTCTTTCGCTCACCCTGGACTTTCCACAGATGCATAAACCCCACTTGCCTAGTTTCTAACAGACCTCACAACCTCTGTGGATGCCTGCAATAGATGTGGGCGAAACGTCAGGAGAGAATGCTTCTGGAATGTGGGCATAAAGCCCGGAAAACTCACAGCAACCCAATAATAATAATAATAATAATAATAATAATAATAATAACGACAATGATAATAATAATAATAATGTATTATTTCTATTTCTCTTACTGCTACCCTGCTTGATTTTAGTGGTTTCACACAAAGAGCTGGAAAGAAATAGTAGGGACTTCAAACAACTGCTGCCAGTGCCTATTTTATTCCAGTCGGGGTGGGGAGGGGGAGCAGGAGATCTCCATGTTACTTACACCAATACATCAAATAATATGTCAGTATTTTAAAAGCAGAGCCTGCGTTTGTATATATTTAAACATAAACACATCCCAGATATAAATTGTTCAAGAATGAGTTCAATAACTAACCCAAACCAAGGCACAAACCTCCTCTCTCCGTGTGGATAAATAGACACAACCATGCAAAAACGTCCTTTCGGAATATACAACGCACTCCCGAAAGTTTATTTCCCGGCTCCTTGTTGTTGGTGCTTTCCTAGCCTTTAAATCCACCGATGTATTGCTTGCCTACCTATATCTATATAATAAAGGAGCCGGTATCATAACTTGGAAAAAATATTACGCATCTCAATGGGAAGGAAGAAAGAAAACACAAGACGAAAAGTCCCTTTTCGAGGATTTGAAAAAAAACAACAATTCCCTTACCTGGTGATCCGTTCGTTCCTTCTGCCTCTGTTTGAAAATCATAATAATCATAAAAAAATTAAATGACTAATAATCATCATAATCAAAGATGGTGGGGGAGGGGGAAGAGAGAGGAGAGGCTAGGAAAAAAAGGAAATATTGATGGGCTTTTGGAGGGTTATTTAATTTCTCTCTCTTTCTTCTCACCCCCCCTCCCTCCAACCACACTGTATTATCCTGATGCAATAAAGCCGGGCGGTAATGTAATTTTAAAATATATCCGTCCCAGCAAAGGGTGGGGGGGGGACGGGGAGATGACAAGTGTGTTTCGACATGATAATTCAAGTGGGCTCCACCTCCCCTCCGCCTCCAATTAATGGCCTAAGCACCTTGCCAGCGCCTGCATTGGCCAGACGGGCGAGCGAGGGAGCGAGAAAGAGAGCGAGAGAGAGAGAAAGAGAGAGAGAGAGAGAAAGGGGAAGCGGGGCCAACGGAGGGGGCGAGGGGCCCCAAAAGTCTCGCCTCGCCTCCCCAACAAGAGCAACTTGGGCGCCAAAGAAGCCCTACCGCTTCAGTCTCTCCGGAAAGGATTTGGGGAGGGGGTGATCTCTCTCTCTTTCTCTCTATCTATCCATCGCTGAGAAGGAAACCCCTTTCTTTCTTTCTTTTTGAGAGGAAGGGGGGTCGCCAAATAGCAGAGATAAAAAAGGAACAGAGTGAGAGCTCTTTGGAAGGCTTAAAGCAAGACTTTGGAGAGCGTGGACCGGCGCCAAGTTGTTGTTGAGAGGGGTGTCTTTCCTCCCTCCAAAAAAAGGGTCTCTCGAAGCGAAAGGGGGCTTCAAGGCTCCTTTGGACGCCCACAAGGAAGAGAGGAAGAGGAGGCAAGGGGTCGGGGGGCTGGTGGGGAAGGCGAAGGAGCCCCCCGACTTCTTCTTCTTCTACCTCCTCCTCCGCCTCCCGCAAAGGATGACTTCCAAAGAGGAAGGCAAGCCCGCCTCGGTGGCTGTAGAGGAGCGGCGCCGCAGCCCGCTGGACCTCCTCCCGCCGCCGGCCAACTCCAACAAGCCCCTCACGCCCTTCAGCATCGAGGACATCCTCAACAAGCCCTCGGTGCGGCGCAGCTACTCCGCCATCTGCGGGACCACGGCCCACCTCCTCGCCGCCTCCGCCGCCGCCGCCGCCGCCTCCGGGCCGGACAAGCACCCTCCGGCCGCCCTGCCCCTCGCCAGCCGGGCCCTCCTCGCCCAGACCTCGCCCCTCTGCGCCCTCGAGGAGCTCGCCAGCAAGACCTTCAAGGGCCTCGAGGTCAGCGTCCTCCAAGCCGCAGAAGGTAAGGCCGCGGGCCCTTGGGGAGGAGGGACGCACAGGGGGACCCCTTGGACAAGAGGCTGGGGGCCCTTCCACACAGCCCCATATCCCAGAATATCAAGGCAGAAAATCCCACATTACCTAAGTGTGGACTCAGATAATCCAGTTCAAAGGGCTGTGTGGAAGGCTCTCTTGATACTATGCATTAATGCAGACATCCGGGGGGGGGGGGTCTTTAGGGAAAGGGGTTTCGCCAAACCTGGAAGAGACCAAGGGCCATTCCACACAGCCCTATATCTCAGAATATCAAGGCAGGAAATCCCACATTATCTGAGTTCAAAGCAGATATTGTGGGATTTTCTGCCTTGATATTCTGGGAATATAGGGCTGTGTGGAAGGGCCCTAAGGCTCTCTTGACACTATGCATTAGTGCAGTCACCCAGAGTGGGGGGTCTTTGGGGAAAGGGATTTCGAGGAGACCAAGGGCCCTTCCACACAGCCCTATATCCCAGAATATCAAGGCAGAAAATCCCACAATTTCTGCTTCGAACTGGGTTATCTGAGTCCACACTCAGATAATGTGGGATTTTCTGCCTTGATATTCTGGGATAAAGGGCTGTGCGGAAGAGCCCCAAGAAATATCCAACTTGGTTGAGACTTTCAGTTCTTTCAGGCTGGATCTACACTGCCAAACCACGGAATTTGAACTGTGTATTTTGTGTGGTGTCTGGGGCCCCTTCCACACAGGTGAATAAAGTCCCACACGATCTGCTTTGAACTCAGGGTCCTTCCACACAGCCATATATCTGTGTGGAAGGACCCCCCCCCCCCAAATATATATTTTCTGCCTAGATATTCTGGGGAATATCTAGGCAGAAAATCCCACAAGATCTGCTTTGAACTGGGTTATCTGAGTCCACACTGCCATATATCCCAGTTCCAAGCAGATAATGTGGGATTTTCTGCCTTGATATTCTGGGATGCAGGGTTGTGTGAAAGGACCCTGAAAGGAGCCCCAGATAACCCAGTTCAAAGCAGATCTTGTGGGATTTTCTGCCTTGATGCTCTGGGTTATATGGCTGTGTGGGAGGGCCCTGGGTTTCACCCTGACTATATACAAACAGTCCCGACTTACAAACGACCCATAGTTAAGAACGGGGAATCCACTGCTGAAAGAGTTCTCCCGAGGAAAAAGGTGTCTCCACTGATCCACAATTTGTCAACATCCTATTATCACAGGGAGAGAAAGTGCAGCGAAATATTCTGAACAAGCAGCAAAGCAAACACCACAGGGGTGTTAACACTTCCCTCGGCTATCCAAAGTTCTCTGTCTTTCTGTCTGCCTATCTATCTATCTATCTATCTATCTATCTATCTATCTATCTATCTATCTATCTATCTATCTATCTATCTATCTATCTATCCTATCTATCTATTGCTGAGGTTACACTTAAAAATGTACCTATTCCGGCTTACAAACAAATGCCACAGGGGTGTTAACTCTTCCCTATGCTATCCAAAGCTATTTATCTCTCTCTCTCTCTCTCTCCATCTATCTATCTAGATGGGGTTATACTTAAAAATATACCTGTTCCGATTTACAAACAAATACCACAGAGGTGTTATCTATCTATCTATCTATCTATCTATCTATCTATCTATCTCTCTCTCTATCTATCTATCTATCTATCTATCTATCTATCTATCTATCTATCTATCTATCTATGGCTGGGATTACATTTAAAAATGTTCCTGTTACAACTTACAAACAAATTCAACTTAAGAACGAGACATCTTGTTTCTAACTGGGGGACACAACCTAAAATGCAATTCAAACTCAGAGGCGTTTTTTTGGAAGGAGCCCCCAAGCCCCTCTCTTCCCCCCCCCCCCTCTCAGGCCGAGTCTATTTCTAGGTTCAGCAACCCACGCGTGAAACCTCTGCCAGTCTTTTTTTAGTCTTCCTGGTGCAACACCGTCTGTTTCCTCTCCCACATAAACCCAACACACAGTCCTACCTCAAAGCTCTCTGCACTGACCATTTCGTGCCGTTTCGAGCCGCTATTGAAGGAAGAGCTTTCCCTGAGCAGGTGATTCCAGAGGAAATTCTGGAAAGGCCCGGATGGTGATGACACGAACCACAGAAGGGCTTTCTTTCAGTCGCTTTTGTGCAAGTTTGTTGTCTAGCTGCCACAGTTGGAAGCTGGTATCTAATTGCATCAAATACCCAGTGTAGACGGGGCCCAAGAAACACCCGCGTCTGTTCAGGTGTGGGAGAAAGGGATTTATAGTTGGGGTGGACGCGCGTGTTCCAACTTGGCCGAGACTTGATCCCCAGGTCAGTAGTTTCACAAGGCTTTTGGAGGACGCCCCCAAAGCTTTTCCAGTCCGATTCCAACACTCCCGGATAGCTTCTATTTCTAGGCTAAACACCCCACGCGTGGAATCTCTGCGAGTCTTCCCCCTTCATCCCTTCCTGGCGCAACACCTCCCATAAACTCTCATCTTTGTGTCATGTTGATTGTTACCCCGCCTTGAGTCCCTACGTCGGGAGAAAGGCGGGATAAAAACAAAAGTAAATAGAATATAATAAGTCGGACCCCCACCCAAAAGATGCCTCTGTCTTCACACCAAGGGATCCATCAACCCGGCGCCTGTTTCCTGAATCGAAAATTACGCGTGAAAAGAGGAAGGGCCTGCCTGCACCTTATTATTATTATTATTATTATTATTATTATTATTATTATTATTATTATTTATTCTGACACAAAACCACAGTATGTCACAGCAAATGAGATCTATATGCTATTATTATTGTTGTTGTTATTGTTATTTAGACTTGTTTATTTTTTTTAAGAAACCCTCCCCCAAATACACTTCAAGGATAATTTATTTTTTTTGGGAAGTGCTCAAATGCCCTTAAAGGAAGAGATTGAGGAGTATTACAAAGATGTGTTTAGGAGTCTGGTCCTTTTCTTTTCTTTTCCTTTCTTTTTTTTTTCCTGGAGGAAGCACCGGAATGTAGGATGGCTTTCTATGAGATGTGTGGTTCCTTTGGCCCCCTTTTTGCGTGTCTGTCGCCTTGTGCTGTGTCTGTGTGAGTGAGAGAGAGAGAGAGCGCGAGGGACTGAAAACGACCTTCTTTTGCCCATTTGCAGGAAGGGATGGGATGACAATATTTGGCCAGAGGCAAACCCCCAAGAAGAGGCGGAAGTCCCGGACGGCCTTTACCAACCACCAGATCTACGAACTGGAGAAGCGTTTTTTGTACCAGAAGTACTTGTCCCCCGCCGACCGGGACCAGATCGCCCAGCAGCTGGGCCTGACCAACGCCCAGGTCATCACCTGGTTCCAGAACCGCCGCGCCAAGCTCAAGCGGGACCTGGAGGAGATGAAGGCGGACGTGGAGTCGGCCAAGAAACTGGGGCCCAGCAGCCAGGCGGACCTGGTGGCCCTGGTCGAGCTGGAGCACAGCCCCGAGGGCCCCGACGCCAGGTCGCCCTCGCTCTCGCCCAGTGCCAACGCCCTCCCCGCGCAAGGCCTCCGGGAGGGCAGCGGGACCCTCCGGCGCCCCTCGCCGCCCTCGCCCACTCTCACGGACCTCCACGGGAGCAGCCAGGACTGCTCCGAGGACGAGGACGTCGAGATCGACGTGGACGACTGAGCCGCCGTGCTGGCTCCCCCCCCTCCCCACGAACAATAACAAACCAAGAAACCCACAACTCCCCGACAATTTCTCCTACCCATTTCCACACAGTCGCAAGAACTGTCACTTCCTTCTCCCCCTCTTTTTCCCTTCCTCTTCCTCTTCTCTTCCTACTCCACTTTCTCCTCTTCTTCCTCTTCCATTTCCTCCTCTATCTCTTCCCTTCCTACTCCACTTTCTCCTCTTCTTCTTCCTCTTACATCTCCTCCTCTATTTCTTCCTCTTCTCTTCCTACTCCACTTTCTCCCATTCTTCTTCCTATTCCCTCTCCTCCTCCTCTATGTCTTCTTCTTCTCTTCCTACTTCACTTTCTCCACGTTCTCCTCTTCTTCCCTCTCCTCCTCTGTTTATTCCTCTTCTCTTCCTACTCCACTTTCTCCTATTCTTCGTCCTCCTCTTCCCTCTCCTCTCCTCCTTCCCTTTTTCTCCTCCCCGCCTTCCTCTTCTCTTCCAGCTCCAATTTCTCCTCTTCTTCCTCCTTCTCTTCCCTCTCTTCCTTCTCCTCTATCTCTTCCTTTTCTCTTCCTGGTCTACTTTTTCCTCCCCTTCCTCTTCCTTCACCTCCTTCTCCTTTCTCTTCCTCTTCTCTTCCTACTCTACTTTCTCCTCTTTTTCTTTCCCCTCCTCTGTCTCCTCTTCTTTCTCCTCTCCCTTTTCTTCTAGGTTCTCTTCCATTTATCTTCTTCTTTTTCATTCACCCTTTTCCTCTTCTTCCACATTTCTTTTGCTCCACGAACATAAAGAAACCAAGACACTGACAAATTCTTTCTTCAGTTTCTCCCACATATTACCTAAGGGAGTGAACTGTGCTCTTGGGCTCCTCTTATTCTTACTTCTCTTCCTCTTCTTCCTCCTCGTTCCCCTCTTCCTCGTCCTCCTCCCTCTCCTTTCTTTTTGCTCCGGGAACAAAAACAAACCAAGGAAAAGACAAACTCCCGCTCCAATGCTCCCGACTCCTTCCCACACATTTGCGAGGAGAGCAAACTGTCCCTCATAGTCTCCTTCGTCTTCCTCCTTGTCTCCCTACTTCCCCTCTTATTCTTCCTCTTCTTTTTCTCCCTCCTTTCTCTTTCTCCTCTTCCTCCTTTTTCTTCTTTCTCCTTCTTTCTTTTTCTCCTCTTCCTCCTTCTCGTCCTCTTTTCCGCCTCCTCTTCCTCTTTTTCTTCTTTCTCCTCTTTTCTCTTCCTCCTCCCAGTCCTCTTTTCTTCCTCTTCTTCCTTTTCTCTTCCTTTCCCTTCCTCCTCTTCCTCCTCCTCGTCCTTCTTTTTGCTCCTCGAACAAAAACCAACCAAGAAAACAACAGCCTCCTGCTTGGGTTTTCCCTCCTCCTTTCCCCACCTTCATTCGCGAGGAGAGCGAACTGTCCCTCCTGGGCCCCCGTAGCGGCACCCACAAAGACGGCCGGACTTGAAGGAGAACTGCAACTCCGCTTCTCTGGCAGCTCAAAAGCAGAGCCGTTTTTTAATTTAAAAACCACAAAAAAATACAAAAGCAATAAGGAATATGAAATAATCACAGTTACGATGATGATTATGATTCTAATTACTGTTATTATTGTTAAGGTAGGAATATCCCAAGGGCTGCCAAACCAGGTAGCTTCTCTTTCATTTCTTTTTTTCTCCCCTTTTCGGAACGGTGCAATTATGGATAGCTTCTGTATAAATATTTAAGCATATCGACTCGGTATTTCCATTTTTTGAGGGTTTGATTTTTAATATATATATCTATATATATCTATATATAACGATATACTTTTTTGTTTATACAAGAATCCATAGCCTTTTTGATTCTTTGTTAGAGAATACTTTTGAAAGGTTTTTTTTTTTTTAAATCCATCTCATGTGAGATTTCAGTTAGGCTGTGGCTACTACCATGGGTTTCCTTTGCCTCTCCTTGCATGTTTCCTATATGCACGTTCTTTAATATTGTTTTTTAAAATTCCACTTCATGGATTTGGTTGTTTACTTCTTTCTTTGTATTGTTCTGGGCTACTGTGAGGGCGGGGGTTCTTCTGCAAGTTTAGATCTCTCTTTTCTTTCCCCTCTTCGACCCTTTCAGCACCTAGGACTTTGTCTCCAATGAGATTTCTGCCTCGTTTTACCAATTAAAATCTATTTTTACCATTTCCTGCTACTGTTGTGCTTTTATTAGGGGGGGGGGAGCTACCTTTTATATATTTTAATATGAAGGTGGTTCGAAGAAAAAAAAAGCCTAGGCTTATTTTTTACTCTTTTTAAATGAATTGTTTTGCATGCTAAGGAAATGACTAATACCACTGCTAATAAAAAAAAAAACAATCATTACAAAAATTCAGAACAGATCAAGCCATGAGCAGATGGGGATATTAATTCTGTACAGATTTAAACATCTTTCTCTTTGAGTTGTAAATAATAATAATAATAATAATAATAATAATAATAATAATAATAATAATTGAAAGGCCTGTTCATTGAAAGGCCTGTTCATTTAAGTTACTAATACTATAGGGACGATGCTGCTTTATATCTGTCTAATCTTAGAGTTGTACAGCAATACTTTTTACCCCCAAACGTAATAAAACTTTTCCAGTTTTAAGACGGTCCTTTTAAAGGTTTTCTTTTGGGAATTAAAATCCTTAGGGAGGTTTTTCTCATTGTACAGACCAAGATCTCTTTTGTATCTACCGAGAGGTAGATGCAGAGACTTAGGGCCTTTCCACACAGCAGAAAATTCCACAATATCTGTTTTGAATTGGGATATATGGCAGTGTTAACTCATGGCCCTTCCACACAGCCATATAATCCAGAATACCAATTGCAGAAAATCCCACTATCTGCTTTGAACTGGGATATATGGCAGTATGGACTCGTGGCCCTTCCACACAGCCATATATCCCAGAATATAAATGCAGAAAATCCCACATTATCTACTTTTAATTGGGATATATGGCAGTATGGACTCGTGGCCCTTCCACACATCCTTATCACCCAGAATATCAAGGCAGAAAATCCCACATTATCTGCTTTGAACTGGGATATATGGCAGTATGGACTCATGGCCCTTCCACACAGCCATATAACCCAGAATATCAAGGCAGAAAATCCCACTAGATATGCTTTGAACTGTTATCTGAGTCTACACTGCTATATACCCCAGTTCAAAGCAGATAATGTGGGATTTTATTCAACTGTATGGAAGCGGCCTTAATTGTAAAGGGAAGTGACTGAATTGTCAGCAAGGAGCTTGGATTTCAAACAGGACGCAGAAACCCACTCAAAGCCAACTCTCTTTTGCGTGGGTTGCCCTCCTCGAGTGATATTGCCTGAAGGGTGGTAGGCTTGTGCGCGCGTCTGTCTGTTTGTATGTCTATCACCAAATGCTCAAGCATCTGTGAAGGCAAAAAACTCACCTTATTAAACAGAAATCGGTACAGGATGGCATCTATTTTTGTTGTCAAAAGTATAGCCTGTAAGAACACGGTTCTGGAGCAGTCCAGCTTTGTTTTGTGAAACGCCAATGCCATGTTTAAGGGCATTTCAGCCCAAGTATCTGACTCTTCAGTGGTATCTAAAGCTATTATTGTAAATGAGAGACTTGTTTCCTCCAAATCCTGGTGTAATTGTCCATGGTTTTCTCCCCTGTGTCAGGAGCAACTTGAAAAACTGCAAGTGGCTTCTAGTGTGAGAGAATTGGCCGTCTACAAAGACGTTGACCAGGGGACTCCGGGATGTTTTACCATCCTGTGGGAGGCTTCTCCTATGTCCCCACATTCGAAGCTGGAGCTGACAGATGGGAGCTCACCCCGCTCCCCGAATGTGAATCGCAGTGAAAAACTTCCACGAAAAAGTTAAATCAACTTCAGCTGGATCTACACTGCCAAATAATGTAGTTTGAACTGCGTTATGTGTAGGCCCATATTGTGCACTTTGAACTGCACTGAATTGCATGATATGGGTGTACATCAGGCATGGACAAACTTGGGTCCTCTTGGTGTTTTGGACTTCAACTCCCACAATTCCTAACAGCCTCGGACTTAAGCGGCTGAGGAGGAAAACGAAGGGGTTTGAGGCTGTTAGGAATGGTGGGAGTTGAAGCCCAAAACACCTGGAAGGCCCAAGTTTGCCCATGCCTGGTCTACACTTTTTTGTGTATCAAAAGCTACTTGAGAAACTGCCAGTCGCTTCTGGTGTGACAGAATTGGCCGTCTGTAGGGACGTTGCCCAGCTGATGTGGGAGGCTTCTCTCACGTCCCCGCATGAGAAGCTGGAGCTGACAGATGGGAGCTCACCCTGTCTCCCAACCTACACTGACCATATAATGCAGTTCAAACTGCATTCGATCCAAATCCCATCTATACTGCCATATAATGCAGCTTCGGATTGAAGTTTAACTACATTGAATTGCGTTCAATGGCAGTGTAGACTCCTATAACCCAGTCCCATGCCATTAAACCTAGCCTTGGTTTTGGGTAGTGGTTTCTGGACACGCAGGGAATTTTCTAAATGTGTCATTTTATTATTCTGCCAAAATAATGATATTTTTTGTCGTGTCAAGAGTGACTTCAGAAACTGCAAGTCGCTTCTGGTGTGAGAGAATTAGCCGTCTGCAAGGACATTGCCCAGGGGACGCCCGGATGTTTTGATGTTTTATCCTTGTGGGAGGCTTCTCTCATGTCCCCCTATGGAAAGCTGGAGCAGACAGAGGGAGCTCATCCACGCTCTCCCCGGATTGGGGACGCCCAGATTTTTTGATGTTTTACCATCCTTTTGGGGGGCTTCTCTCGTGTCCCCATCCTTGTGGGAGGCTTTTCTCATGTCCTCTTTTGGGGAGCTGGATCTGACAGAGGGAGCTCATCCACGCTCTCCCCGGATTGGGGACGCCCGGATGTTTTGATGTTTTACCATCCTTGTGGGAGGCTTCTCTCATGTCCCCCTTTGGGGAGCTGGATCTGACAGAGGGAGCTCATCCACGCTCTCCCCGGATTGGGGACGCCC